TGAATAGCTCTCGTGACTGCGAACGATGGGAAAGGAGTGAAACAGTCGACCCAGTATCAATTTATCAAAGATCAATGAACAATCAATCGATACTTAACCGGCGACGACTAATTTGTGAGCGCGCCTGTTCTTTCCTGCGAGGAACCGCAAGGGAGGGGCCTCCCATCCTCCATTTAGCTGCCGTTTCTCAATATTTTGTCGTCACGCCGAAAAGCTTTCCATTGAGCTCGTCGAATTGAAAGCTGCTCGACCGGGAAATCTTTCGATATTGCTTTATCGTCCATAAAAATGGCTGTTTACAGCCTCGCCACCTCACCCACACCACCCCCGCTTCATCGATAGATAAATCGTCCGACAGCCGCCGCGAGCCAGTTATTCCTCATGCGAGCTTTCTCGTTGATCGCGACTATTGTTTCGACGATACCTGTTTATTTCTGTCTTTCGAATAATTGAATCGCGTGTTTCGATCTTCCGTCCGTACCGGGATTTTAGTCTCGCGCGTTATATTCGATCTCGGGAACGGCAGTAACTTTGACGATCGATCTGAGATGCGATTATCTTTGATTAATTGTTGTATAGCAAATAGAAGCTTTCAAAACAATGAAATGCAATAATAAAAAGCAGTTATCGTACAGAATGAATACATTGTTACCTTTTTACTAATGGAATTTACTTAATTTGCGTCGTGTAAAGATTTAAACTTGTATTGGTTTCACGGTAAGACCTCAAAATAAGTTTTCATAAGATAACAAACATTGTTTCTACATTTTCAATGTAAATCGAAAAGAGGTTTTGACCCTAAGGGATCGTTTTTTCAAAACACCTTGGCCTCGAATGGGTTGAGAATGGTAAATTCACCAAGGAAATCCTTGATGCGTGATCATGGCTCTCGCTCGCGTATAAGAAATCGAGGGCGCGATACGTTGCCATTGAGCAGCCACGTTTTCGCGTGTGAAAAGACTCGAGGCGCGATAATGGGCCAGATATAAACCGGTCGAAAGGACTTATCGTTTCCGCCTCCCCCCACTCTTTTTTTGGTATTTCCGTTGAAAGGAATCGCTTTAACGGTCTTAAGGAGCGTCCCTCTCGTAATTCCATTATCACCCCGAATGGCATTAGCATAATAACGAAGGGCACTTTTTAAAAGTTTGAGCACGAAGGACCCACCGTTCCGTGCTAGATCTCGCCTTAACGCGATCGCACAAGATGCTGAAGCTTTAGGATGTAATTGAATTTAAATTGAAATTATGCTTGGTTGGCCGGTATCGCCTGAAGTCTTCTTGAATCGGAGTAAATAAACCGACGGATAAGGAGGTTAGGGTAATGAATTGAGAATGAGAACCTGTGCACGATCGGTTTCTGAAAGAAATGATTTTGAGTGAAAATTTTTGCTTCTAAAGTGATTGTTAGTTCAACGTCAATATGGATGCAATTATACTTGAAGTTTTATTTATTAAATCTTGAAATTTCAAATAACAACAAAATATCTTTACAGAAAATAATTGGTAACTGTCAAAGATGTGATAGACTGATAAATTTATTCTCATTAATGGTCTTATGTCGATTTCAAGCTTTCTAATCTGTGTAGTGAAGATTATGAGTCCATAGAATTTCGAATTATCTTTTAAAAAATTTTTTTGTATTAGTAGCTGGGATCTGGAACGGAAGTGAAATAATTGAATAGTCTGAGAAAAGGAATGGTTTTATTTGCTTCACCCAGTATGCAAGAGAAACAGGAAGGTTATTACTCCCGGCGAGGTCGTGCCGTCTATTTCGAGCTTAGGGCAATCCGCCAAACTTATGTTAATTGTGCGAATTATCATTTCTGGGCCTCAGCTATGCGCAGATGATGCGTCTCGCTCTCATCCGGGTTTCACGAAAGTATCTTTCTCGCTCTGTGTGTCCTTCCCTTCCAATTATTTCTACCAGCATGACTAAAAAACCGTGGTAATTTAAGTGTCAGTGCCATCGATCAAAATTAAACTCAGGTTACCCTGTAATCTTAATGAAATACAGCCATTCTCTTCGACAACGTAACTAAACTGTTCACGATTACATCTGGTATTCTTGTAATTAATTTTTCTTCTTTTCAAGATTTTCTTCTTTATCGTTATCCCTTCAATTCCAATCAAATGCTCGCATATTTTTCAAATAAATCAACTCAATCTTTCCGTGCGTAATTCTATTCCAATTTACCGTTCCGTGTCTTTCTTCATCGTAACGTCACCGGTCTTCGAGTTCGATCCGGGACAACTAAAGTTCACAGCGAGATTCTATCGCGGTTAATAAATATTCCGGTCCCTGGGACGGCAACGCATAAATCTTTCGCGGGGGGAGGGAAACAGGGAACTCGTACGTGTTCCACAATGGCCGATCTCGATTGGTAATTTCACTCCGGGGTCCGATACGAAGTTCACCCGGGTCCGATTGTTTTGCCGGCTCGCGGAACAACGATCGAGTGAAGGACATTTCCGGCACACTGGCCTCCTCGGCGTGGATCAACTTCGACTGATCGACGTCCTAGAGTAACGGTGTGCCGGATAAATGTTCCCGGACCGCGAGAATCGGTAACTGATCCACGTCGATCCATGGTTTCGCAGGGTGATGGCGGTGCTTACCGATCCAGAACCGGCATCGCTTCCAGTACTTTTGGCAGAACGGCGGGAAGCGGCTTGCCGAGCTGCAGAACCAGCTACTCCTCCATCGGTTCTGGTTCCAGCCGCGTGCCAGCCAAGGAAAGAGTCTCCGGTTTCGGGAACGCGTTCCTGAAGAAGGAGAAGACAGACGATAAACCTACTTTCAAGTATTCCGGTCAGTTGTTTCTTATATTCCATTATTTCGCATGATTTCGAACTTACCGACTCTAATTTCCACTCTGTGATATTGAAGGTTAAGTAAGAAAATCGAAGCTTTTGCAACTGTAATACGAAAATTATTTTCTAATGTCAAGATGAGTTTTCCTTAGTTATTAATTTTTTCGAATGACGAGTTTCTAAATAAAAAATTTAAATGCTAGTTTTCAAACGAATACTTTCCGCTATTAGTTTCATTTTCTTCTAGTATTCATTTTACATGTAATTTCGCTTCTGAAGCAATTACGAGTACCATGCGGACACACATGTGTCTCTTAAAATTCTGGGAAGACAGGAATCTTACTGACAAGGCATCACTTTTCAGGTACCAAAGAAGCCGATAAAAGCCGGCTGCACGCCGGCAGGTCATCGACGGAGGACGTAAGAGCGAAAAGTCCATTATCGAGCAGCAGATCCTCCCTGTTCGAGAAGTACTCGTACCCAGCTGCGAAAACTTCAGACAGGCCGGCCTCCGTCTTGGACAGATATAACCGGGCCACTTCACGCGAGAAAAGCAGAGAGCCTGACGGAGTATCCCGATACGGATCCAGCACGTATCCCGGATCAGGCCTGGCGAGGAGCTATGGGAACGAATGTAGAATCGAGAAGAAAGAGCGGAGCGATCATCCGCCGGTCTCGTATCGAGGATTACGCTCGAACTCCGGGAGGAGTTCTCGCGAGCCCAGCCCGGAAGTCAGCGTCGGGAAGTCGAACTCCTTCAGGGTGTACTCGAGGGCGTCTTCTTACAGCCGATCCGGTGCAAATTCTAGTAAGAAAGATTGCTCCTCCCGAGATTAACCTTTTGAGAACGAATGTCATATTGGCGATCACGAACTTTGTTAAACAAAGTGGTTTAATTATTCGAATAATAAAAACTATAGTTTTCTTATTTTCCAATATTTAAAAGTTTGATGTACAATTTAGCTTCTTATAGGAAATGTTTCTTATACTTTAAGAAATCGCTCGCAAAGGGTTTCAAATATATTCTTTGTTTTAAGGAACCTATATCAATTATGTAATATTGTAAATTTTATAATATCAAGTAAACAATGATTACTAAAGAGTCTAATTAATGTAACTTTATCATTTCCAGGTGCTTCCGAGTCGAGCTCGGCGCCTATCTCGAGATTCGGCTCGACAGCTAGTTCCCGGTTCCTCTCGTCGAGAAGCAGCAACGACCGAGTTCCCTCAGCCATAAGCTACTCCGGATCGGACAGGTTCCGAACTTCAGGCAGTAAGCCTATGCCGGCGAACTCGAAGAACGAGGACAACGCGAGGGCCAGTTCAGACAAAGATTCCAGTCAAGAGCCATTTGCCAAGGGCGACGGTCTAGAGGCGGACAGTAGACTTCAGGACAATGATACCTTGACGTTAACCATGGTTACCAGAGGGACGTCGCCGAGTCCGCCTGCGTCGTCGTCCTACGTGAGAAGCAGAAGGGCGGACATAGGTATCTCTCATCAGAAAGAAGTAACGCGCGCCAGACGAAAAAGCGAAACTAAGGACCAAGAGGTTCAATGCGAGAGGACCGAGGACAGCTCAAGATTCTCGCGGTTCGGTGCTGGCGGTAGGATCTCCGAGTCGCCGTGGTCGTCGTATCTCGACAAATTTTCTTCGTCGAATTCCAGCGCGGGTCCGGTGTACGGCAGAGGCTTCAACGGTGGCGCGGCGAATGCCCGGATGAACAGCTTCGCGTTTAGCAGGCCGAACGATAACGGGATCGCATCCAGGAACGATTCCGCGGCAAAAGTGTCGCCGGCGTCTAGTCAAGAAATCCAAGCCGGCAGGAGCCAAAATGAGCAGACCGGCAAAGTTTTCGGTGGTCTGGGATTCCCGAGAGCCGGCGCGGACTCCACGCTCGTGAAAGTCGATCCCCCGAAGACGGGCGCCGCGCAGAGGGAAGAGAACGCGAGCAAGGATCAAACGAACGCCAAACTGCAAAGCGGGGATTCCCGACCCGCCGGCAAGTCGGACGCGAGAAACGATCGGTTTTCCAATTCGAAGGCGTTCAACAATGACCCGTTGACCGTGCTAAAGAGGGAGGGCTCGCCGAAGCAGTCGGCCATTGTCGCGAAGTCGTCAGACTCCCGGGAAAGTATTTCCAGGAGCGAAGAAACGCACAGCAGCAGAGAAAGTTCTGCATCGAAGAGCGAAGGCAATCAAAGGAGACCGTCTATACCGAGATTGGGTCGCGGTCCGATGAAGAACGAGGCGAAGATCACGAAGTCCTCGTCCGGCTCGTCGACGAAGTCCGACGGGCTACGGGAGAGGAGGGGCTCGACACCTAAATCCGACGCCGCCGCATTCTCCAGGTCGGAGGAGTCTTCAAGAATAGTTGAGGGATATTGCCAGGAACAAAGTGAAGATATTGCCTCCTCGAAGCGCGACAGTACTTCGGCCGGGAAGGATTCGCTTCAGAGGTAGACGTTCTATGCGTTTGAGAAATAATAAAGACTTGTCGAGCGCAATTAAGTTCAATGCCGTTAGACAAATGCGGATGCAATTATACCTGGCTCTCTAACACTGGAGGAGAGAATAGCGACGATGGAAGATACTGTTCAGTTGTAATTTTCTTACATCAATCATGTAAAGTCAGATTATTATAATCGAGTCTATTTTAGTTTCATTAATATATTGCGAGAATTGTATGCCTAGGACAAATCGATGAGATTAGAATAGGAAGTAGGTACCGAAATATGATAATGACGAGATCTTTTCCTTGCGTCGTGATTTAATTTCCCTTATAAAATTGTAACTTTTAATGTCTTTTTCGCAGCGCATCTCCCTTAAGCCGATCTGCGACGCCTCAGTCACGCGGCGGCACTCCGAGAAATCTTCCTCGTCAGATGACGCGTACGGACTCGTCAGACGGGTCCGCTGTAAATGTGCCAATTGGCAGATCGAAATCGTCGTCAGCCAGTTCGATGACGAGTCAAGGCTCAAAAATAAAGGCGACACCGTCGCCATCGCCGAGCAAATCATCGAGCGGTTCGACCGCATCCTCAGTGAATCTGAGACAGGGCGGTTCACCGGATGCTCGTGGCAAACCACCTGTGCCGAAGACCGACGTGACGGCGTCGACCGCGTCAAAGTGCCTCGTGCCGGTGAAGTACGTGAACAAGGATTTCCGGAAGTCCACCTTGAACATGGAGAACGGGGATCCTTCGCAGTCGAAGCTGACCAGAAAGAAGAAGAACCAACGCAGTATGTCCGTCAGCTCTCAAGATTCGCAGTCCGAACCGAACTCCGAACCGCTTAATCAGGCTATACCCTCGGAATCCTCGAGCTCTCTGAAGACCAGCCAGTCGAGGTTACGGATGCCTTCCAGCGCGTCGAAAACGACAACGAGCAAGAGCAGCTCGAGCAGCTCGTTGAGACCCGAAAAATTCAGGGGCGGATCGAAATCACCGTCCGGGACAAGAGAGAAAGAGGACGGAAGCTCTAGTTCCAGCGGCAACACCGAGTCCAACTCGTCAAATTCGACGAGCAGCGAAGAGGACGACGAGAAGCAAGAGAAACCTGGCTCAAGACGCCGGAGAAGACGCGCGTCCAAGTCGCCTTTCCGCGAGAAGAGAGGCAAGATTAGCGCCGGGTCGTCCAGAACGAGCGTCGTCGCGTCGTCCGCCGACGAAATGTCCCTGACCATGGACAAACCACCCCGACCACCGTCCAGTCCGAGGTCCAGAAGCGATCGATCTGGAAAAACGGAAGAGGCAAAGTCATTTCTGATGAGGGCTCTCGCGCCAGTGACGAACCTTTTTAAGAACAAGCAGCAGGATTCCGGCGAATCCGGGAAATCCGGGAGCTGGCTGGACTCCAACGAAGAGAACTCGGACGTCAGGAGGTCGGAGAACGGCACGGCGTCGTTGTCGAAGAGCCCTTCGAAGAGTGGTAGTTTCACGAACTCCGAGAGAGGCGACGACAGAAGGCAGAGTCGGGGGAAAATCAGACGCGACCATTCCGGAGAACAGCCATGGTGGATGGATCCGAACTCCGACAACGTTCCTGAGGGTGTTGAAACCATAAGCGTGTGTAACGACGACATTAGCCAAGAGACGACCGTCAGTTGTACCTTACCTGACGATGGTGAGCGATCAGTTTAATTCTCGTTATAAAAAATGTCGTGTTTGCATTGTTCAAATCGTACTCTCTCAAATTGTTCATACTTAGCTGCATAAAGAGGTTGAACAATGTGCTAACAAGTACTTTCGAAATACTATGATTCCAGGTAAATTTAAATACAGAGTGTGGCGGGAAGATTCCGGAGAACAAGCCTGGTGGTTGGACTCGAACGACAGCGTAGCTTCAGAGGAAACACAGAGGAAACACTCTTCAGCGACCTCGAGGCAGGAATCGGGAGAGAAAGCTTGGTGGTTGGATTCCAACGACAGCACTCGGTCGGATGACACAAAGAAACAGTGTTCCTCCATAACATCGAGACACGACTCCGGTGACAGGTCTCGATGGATGGATGGGAACGACAGTGTACTGTCGGAAGAGCCGAAGAGATCATCGAGCGCAGCGGTGTGGAGGCAAGAATCGGGGGAGAGGGCGTGGTGGTTAGACGCGAACGATAATGTTTCATCGGAGGAACCGAAAAAACAATCTTCCTCGGCGTCTTCGATCTCGAGGAGGGGGTCCAACCGGTGCAGCACCCGGTCCAGCGACAGAAGGAATCGCATCAAGCACCAGCAATCCGGTGAACGGGCCTGGTGGATGAGCGACGATCCCGAGAACGTGCCTGAGGGAGTTGAAGTGATTCCTGTGGCAACGACCGCAACTAGCAGTCCGCGTGTCAGCCACAGCGACGAAGTCGACAGCAGTCAGACTTACGGGAGGAACATGCATAAAATCAGTCATATCGAGTCCGGCGAGAAAGCGTGGTGGATGGACAGCTCGTCGAATGTTCCTGAAGGCGTCGTCAAGATCCCAGTGGAAACCTCGAACAGCACTTCGGATTCATCCGAGTCGTTCGAGAGAATCGATATTGGCGTTCACCCTGAACCTGAGATATACGCGAGGAGAAGCCTCTCGAGATTCCCTATCGAGTTTCCGCCTCCGCCGCCCGACGAGCCACTCGGGGATCGCGCCAGTCCCGAAGGGGTAATGCGATCATATACCGTGCATTATTCATTTAACGGCCCCTAACTGACGAGCCGATGCTCCCAGCCGATAATACGCAACGCGATCAATCTTTAAGCTAGCGTGCCCTCGCGCCGCGGTGAGAAAACAAAGTTGATGGCGGGATTAAGTCCCCTGCTTCTTGATTAAGGGATTGAGCGGTGGCTCTAAGAGGTCGCCGGGAATTCGTGAACCCTGATCGTGCCCGCTATCTGATCGAAGGTTCACCTAACGTTCCCTTATCGATCGACCGAAAGAACGCTTGGACTATCTTAGAAAGTAACAGCTACGAATTATGAAGAATGATTTTCGTTTTGCGGTTGGGTAACAATGGTCGTGTATACTGTTGACTAGTTCTTGCGTTCTCGTTTCTGACTTGTAACATTTTTAAATGGGGACTAGGCGCATTAGTCGAATAGGAGCACTGCTTTTTTTTACAGTTTTTATTCTTTAATGAAAATTTCATTAGACTATAACGGTGTCGGAAAATCAGAGCTATTATATCGACGTGTCGATAATCACTAACAAGTGAGATCACTCAACAGCGGCCGCTAATGTTCAGTTCCTTCTCATTTCAGCAAATTGATATCTTCTGGCTACAAGGGTGACGTCTTTATTCCAGGTAGAGAACCCGCCGGACCCGCCGGACAATTACGGTGGCCGAAACTCTCCTTACGACAACGTGCAGCCGACACCACGAAGATCGTCACCAAGGAAACGGCCGTCCACGTTACCGCTGTTCATCGGCGAGCACACTAACATCGACGATCTGCTGGGCGACACAGCCGCCCTATGTCCTAGCCCGGTCGTGTCCCTTATCCGCAAACGCGAACGCGAACGCATCGAGGAGGGTGAGTCCGAAACGAGTTTAATGTGATTTGCGAATCGGCCGTCGCGCGGGCTTGTAGTTACAACCGCGCGCTCGTCGAATTACCGGCTGAATCAAATACGGTCGGGCTATCGGGGACGGGTAGCAGTTTCGGGCCACGACCCTGTTAACGAGAGGACAGTGTCCCTTTGAGGGGAATCAATGGGATCCTTCCTTTTGGGAATTGCGGTATGCTCGATGGATGGGTGTTGAATCGTGGGCACGCACGCCGCTCTGAAAGGGGGAGCTGACGGGATTAGAGCCGCAGTTCGTACCGAACAGATTTTGGTGATTGCAATTCCCCTCTCGATGAAAGGGAATTTGGGTCACCGGCCGCGCAGGAACAACGAACCATAACTGCGGGTGGCGCGTAATCGCCGCTCACGTCTCGATGAACTTTGAATTAAATTAAGCTTAATGGCCTGCCAGAACATCTGGAGCTCATCGGCCGTACTAACCCTCGCAAGAATTTATCGGTTGTACCTCGGTTCTATGCCCAACGGATTTTCTAGAAATTTGAATTTATGAACGTTGAGTGTTATTAACGATTTATTGCGAAACTTTGTTATTCCATCTAGGAATAACTAGGAATAACCTCTTTGTTATTCCATCTAAGGTTCATTGAACGTAGTTAAAGTATTTATTTTTCTTTTGTTGCATAGTATGTACACGTTAGTTTGAATGGAGACTGTACTATCTGATAGTCTTTCGTAGATCAAGTTGAAAGTATAGATGTTGCAATCGTTTCATTTCGCGGGAGACCATTATTTTCTTCTTTTAAGAGTAATATCTGCATCGTTGTTTTTACAGATTCCTCGGAGGAAAGTTCAGAATGCGAAGAAATCGACGCCACACAAGTAATCATTCACGACAGCACACCACAGACGCCGGTGATACAACGGCGGCATCGGTATGTTTCGTATCGATAATCAAACGCGAATCCCTAAACCGGGTCGATGCGTGATCATAATGCAAAAATTTTCTCCAGGGACAATGAGAGACCACAGCCCGATGGCTACATTCCGGTGAGTTTGTTTAATCATTTGTCATTATGTCTAATGCCGTAGACATCGTTCCAATCTACACTTTCACATTACATTTACCGCTGTTTCACGAAGCGTTCCTTCTCTCAGGATATTTAAGATTGACAATAACGCGTGACACGCGCGAAGCTTTATCATTCCGTTCGAAAGCCTATGGTGGACGAGCAGATGAAAGCTGTACACGTGACAAAGCGCGTATTTTTTCCAGCTGCGCGACTCTTCGCGTTCATTATTTGCGTGCGATTCTTTTCATGATCAGTAGCCGGCGGGGGAAGGCGTGTAGGTGACCGTGGATAGGACGACGCGTACTCGAAAAAAACAGAGGAAAAAGGAGAGCTAGACGAACAAAGACAAGAGGAGGGTAGACGACATTACGAGTGGTGGTGCGCGCGACATTATTGTTTCTCATAAGGGATGTGCCCAAGAGACCCTCCTTTGGCTCCAGACTCCCTTTTCCTTTTTCCCGTTTTGCACGCAAAGTGCTACCAACAGAGGGGTCTTCTAGAGTCATTCCCCCACACCGTCGCGTCTTCTTTCACTCGCCTCGGAATGCACCGAATTTTTAATAACGCAGAGGGAGTTCTTTGAATATTTCCAAGTTCCATCGAATTTAAAGAAACTTCATACCAATGCAAAACAACTGTAGACACGAAAATAGAGAAACAATATTTTTTCTTATAGTCACCTTCTAAGATACTCTGCATAAACTAAACGAGATTTGAGGACTCTGAACATTTTCAATTATTTACAAAATAGAGATTAGCTGATGCGAAACAAATTGGTCGTCCCCTAGCAGTCCCGGTGCAGAGTCAGTTATATTTTCCCGACGGGGTATAGAATTTTATAGCTGCGGTGGCACCCTCCCGTGCACGGTACCTTCCATCACGTTTCTATAGGTCCAGCAGCTCCTTTTGTTAGCTTGTCACCCTCGTGGGGTCCTCGTAGTACCGGGACAACAATGAGCACCCGCGCACTTACGGTTACGCTCTACGTGCTGCGCCAGCTGATTATTTTTTCACCACACAATTACCATCCCCGCCGTTTCATTTGGCTCCTCAGCTCCCCGCGCGACGCCCACGAAAGCCCCTACACTTGAAAGCAACGCGGAGGCGAACCATCGCCTTCGCTATCTTGCGGAAAATCGGAAAAAAAGAGGACGAGGGTGAAGACGGTCGGAACGGGACACGGAGATAGGGGTCATTCCGACCGAACGAATGAAGTTTGTTTGACGACAATATCGTCGGTTTTTGGTCGACCGCAAAACAACGACCGTGTTTGCACGGTTACTCGGGACGACGTTCGTGGACAATGCGGTCAGACTGTTTTATAATTCTTCCCCAGACCGGTCGACGTTTTCTTGCGGAATTTAGTGTCCCTCTGCGGTACGCCTTTCTCCCTTCGACCGCGTGTTGAACACGTGAGGGTGCAGTAACTTCGTCAGAAAAGAACATTCCTTCGTTTTCCCCGTCCGTTTCTTGCTCGGTTCGTGGCAGCAGTTGTTCGGGATAAAACGTACGTGGTTTATAGTCGCGAGCGCAACCTTGAGACTTATTAATGCCGGAGAGAGTTGTATCGCCGATTGGGAATTATTAACGCTGATTTTTCTCGCAGTGATGCAGAGAATGGATTTCATGCATACTGAAGGATCTGCATAAATAGCCTTAATGGAAGTAACCTCAATACAAGAACGTACAATAGTTTCCAGTTTCGAAACAATTGAAACGCGTATCTAAGTCGAAATTTCTCTCTAAATAATTTATTCCTTTGAACAGAAACTTGTGTCGCCTTAATTTTCAAATATAGAACGTTTCTATATGTTTCTATAAAAAAAAGTTTACCGTGTTGCAGACGTAACATCCATTAGATCATCTCCGAACATTATCATCTGAAATTCACCTATAACCCCTGGAATTCTAATAGAATCAGATCCATGGAACACGGTAAAAATTTGTCCGATTCTCGTGTTGTGTCCAGCATACCGGGGTGCTCTTTGTACACGAGGCCGGATAGAGAGGGGGTTGTCCACGTGGCGGCGCCACCGTCGCCTCAGCGGCGACAGGTGTCCGCGACGTTCAGTGTCGCGGCGACCGCTCGCGAGGTAAGGCACGTTGTGTTATCGGCTGGTGTGTCCGTTCGTTCGTTAGCTCCATTCTTTCCTCTCCCTTTTTCTTTCTCTCCTCTCGTCTCACCCGGTTTCACGTCGTTCCGAGCGCGTGTCGCGTTCATTGGCCACGGTTGTCCTGTCAACAAGTGTCGGTACGCGGTCGTGGGTCAAAGGTGACGCGCGTTTCCGTGCGCGGGAAGCGCGCGTGTCGCTCGCGCTCGTACGAGGTGAGTTTTTGTCGCGCAGACTCCGATATTCCGATCCCGGAGCATGCACCTTCTCGTTTACATGTATCTACTCCTCGCGTTCCGTTCCGTTCCATTCCATTCCATTCCGTCTCGGCTCGACGGCACAGAATCCGAGCGGATCGCGAGCCGGAGAGGAGAAACGGTGCCGCGTGACGTGACGTTACCACCGGTGCCCGATGTCACGGTGAACGGTGGAACGAGCCGGACGAAAGTGACATCAACGGAAGTGTTTTGACGCAAGCGTAACGCCTCGCCACGGATTCGAATCCCCTTTATGCGCCACGAGGAGACATGCTCAGCCCGTTCGTATCGCCACTAATTTCCTGGAACGTCGGAATGCTTCGACTGGTTTGGCCAGTCCGCGGCCGGCTCTCCTTCCGAATCGTGTTATTTATTTTGGAGTTTAGGTTAGTCCCCGCGCGACGATAGATCCGATCCACGTTCTCTCTCTTGTCTCTTCTTTTTTCACTTTTTCTCCCCATCTCCGGCGATCACCTTCGGCGCCGTCATGGTTCCCGTAACGTTGTCCTGCCTCCTGCGCAAGTTCCACGTTCCGGTTCTCACTTAACCTCCTCGGACGCGTTGGAATGATTTCGAATTCTCGTATTCGGAATTGTTCAATCCTCGAACGTCTTTTTCGTCCTGGTCGTACGTACAATGTAAACACAGCGGAGCGTGGAACTATCGATAAAGAAGGTTCTTCCCATAACCTAGAAAGTGATCGGCGTATCGGGTTCCCATTGTTTATTTGTTCGGTCGGCTAGCGGGGCTGCGCGATGCTATGTCAATGCTCCGGGAATTGGTATTTTCTAGCGAGAAGTCGATTTGCATAGTAAAATCTGCGGAAAGAGAAAAGGCAGACGCGAGGTCGGTGAAATTCAGTTGTTATTCTGAAAAGTTGGCACCGGCGTAGAATAGTGAAACGGCTCGAAAGAAAAACATCGGTCTACGCTGGATTGGTCGATCCTTTGATTCTTAGCTTGCGGTCTTACGTTGGGTATGCAGGCAACGATGACTGCCGGTTGATTTTTGTCCTCGGCTCACTTTTACTCAATTAGAGCATGATTTTATACGCATCGTGCGTTATATGCGGTATTTTGAAAAGCGGTTGGAATATTTTTTCTTGAAATTTTACTCAGCTCCGATCGGTGGCATCGCGCAGACTCGTTTTCTCTTCCACCTACCTTCCACCCGTTTCCCTTCCTCCCCGCCGCACGGTTTCCCTCTTTCTCTGCCCTTTCTGACGCTTCACCTGGCCTCTCCCTTTCTCCCTTGTCCTCTATTCTTCCCTCTCTCGCTTTTTCTCCTCATCGAGCCGGTTCGCAGAAGAGCTAGAGCCCCGTGCAACGGCTAAGAACAATGCGAGTACGGGAGAGGATGACGAGACGGCTCGGCATGCGTAGATAATTGACACTTCGTAAATTCATTCCAGTCGAGTGGCGAAATTTTTTTATTTTCGCCTTTTATCATTTTTTTTGTTTTCTCGCAAGATTCATACAGTTATAACAATAATATTTCTATCGCAAATCGGCCGGATGTTGTTTCCACCATTTTTGACGCGATCTAACTACCATGCGCATTGAGGTACTTTCGTTTCATTTTAAAATTTTGCGGTACTCGGTTTCACGGTATATATTAACACTCGAACGACAATTATTGATTTAAGATGACTTAAGATACTTTTTGGAGATCTATATCTGATATTCTATCAGATATTGAAATCTCTTTCATTTCACGCGAAAGATAAGATTGGTGTGGTTAATTACACATACGCGTAATCGTGTTTTCGTTTTTACTTTTAAATCAATCGGTATGCAAGTAACTGTTCATATGATGCAATGTACTTCATCATAGATCACTTTTACCGACATTTTCAACCATAAATAATATTTGTTGTGATATCGTACTATCAATTTATAACTTCTACTTCGGTGGCTAAAGTAGATAAATCCTTGGACTCCCGGGAGGTTTGTAGAAATCCCCAGACGGGTTAATAAATAAGCAGGTAAAATCTAGTTTCGTCGAGGCAAAATCGAAAGGATACTTTGAACGAATTTCACCCTTTCATGTTATTACTGTCAATATTCTATGTATGTTAAATAAGCAAAATACCGTTCACAAGGAAGCAAATAAATGATAACGTGTATGTGCGTACGTACGTGAGACCGAAAACAGTTTCATGTTCGCAATATCAAATTCACCTTGTAGTACACGGTGGGCAGAAAGTAAGCGGCCTAAGTTGGTTTCTCCGCTCGAGATGTCATTTGTTGCAAATTGATGTTATGGATGGCAGATCGTGTAAAGAGGGCCGAACGCCATTTGTTGTCACGTGTACGAGATAAAATGTCACCTGACCGGCCGATTTCAACGTGAAAATATTAAAGATCATCGATCCAAGTGGAATTACAACATGTTTACTATCGAACGCCGTGCACGATTTATATGGGTCGTTTAGGTTACCTAACTTGATCTCGGTGAAAAATTTACGCGGCAAGTCGGAGGGAAAGCGAATGTATTCGACTAACTATCGATATAAGGAATATTAACATCGTGCTCTTATCTTTGATCTCGGGATTGGAATTAAAACACAGCACAGATGACGTATTTTCAGACAAAACAAACTTGAACAAATAATTACACAAAATCTTTGCGTATTCCGATGTTTTTTTTCGGTACGTTTCAATTTCTTTGAATATATCGGTTCTCGGTAACGCTGGCAAAATCAGAGTCACCGAGTATTCCCAGGTGTTAGTGACCTTGAAGGTGTGTAATGAAAATTACTCCCACCAATCTGTCGACTTTCGGCCGACCAGCCGACAAACGAGTGAAAGGAAAATCTAAAGGTCGTCGACCGGTTGGAAACGACACGGTTTCTTATTCACCGGGACGACGATGTCGGGAGTCAAAGGTTGTTACCATTCCGACGTCGTCGCTTTCACGCGTGACCGACCGAAATATCGCGTATCCACGTTTCCGGTGTTCAGTCGTCGACTACGTTTCGCGCTCGAATCGTCGAGGAATTTAGGTTCGACGTTTCCTTGACGGTGATACGATCGGAAAACAGTTTCCGCGGAAAACCCGATAACGATTAACGTTCGCTTGCGAATACAGTACGGCCTCGATACTTGGAATCTAGAAAATTAGCTGCCTCGTTGGTTTCATCGACCTCGATGACGCTTGCGCGCATTTTCAGCTCCATTTTTGTTCAACTATCAGACACCATTGTATTAGAAATACAGTTATCGAGGTCATACTGTACCGAAACTGCAATTATCGACGCTCTGTTACATTGAAACTACCGTTACCGAGACGCAGCTCCGTCGAAACGATTATCATCAAGATTCCATTTTACTGAAACTACGATCATCGAGGTCCTACCGTACTACTATTACAACTATCGAGGCGTTACCGTACTAGCGTCGAAACAAAACGCTCAATGAACGGGAACGAGACTAACGTTTCTTTTCCCGTCGCCGTTTCTCCGACTCACGAAAATAAATCGGCAGCTTTCCACACGGTCGCGTTCGCTCGCTCGTTCACGCGCACGCGCGTCCTTACTCTTCCCATTCACAATAAGAAAACCGAGGCGCACGGCCCGACCGGGTAGAAAGAATATCGGTTCACCGCGATCAAGGTATTCACGTGAGCCTCTGTTTCGTCGTCGAGCCGGTAGACGCGAATGGAACGTGAGGAGGAAGAAAGAGCCGCGTGGGGGGAAGAAGGAACATTGGTCCTACGCGCACGAACGAGAAAGAAAGGGTGAGAGAGAGAGAGAGAGAGAGTGAGAATGAGAGAGCGATAGGGAGCGAGAAAG